GGCAAGATTTTAAAGGCATTGATCTAACAGGTATCTAAACTAGAAAATTCTGGCTATAAATTCAGTTAGTAGCAGATTCCTTAAAATCTCATGATGGACAATTAAGGTAGAGCTTAATGTTTTTGGAAATCTTCTTGGTTATTTGCCCTAACTGGTCACATACTCTGCTAAATTTGACACGTGTAGGGTAGCATTTCTCACCTTCAAAGAATGGCAAGTACTGGTTCCCTCATGAAAGTGTTCCTTGCAAATGGTTTTTATTAAGTTAGGAAAACTGCAGCAGTAGAGGTTCTGGCAGAATTATACCCCCAGTGTAATCCTGAGCAGTCAGTTTAAGGCCATGGCCTCTGCTTTTGAGGCTCTCACTAACTTAAGCAGATGGAGGAAGGATGAAGTTGAAGCACAGAAATGGGTATATGTGCACAGTTTGCAGTTTGAGTCCTTAATCTCCACCTAGACATTATGATTTGGCATTTGCCACAGGTTTTGTTATATATAACTGGGTGAAAGGAAGGGGTGTGGTGGAGATGGGAATGGCACCTTGGGGATGTAGCTGGTGTCACACACAAATGGCATCTGGGAGAAAGTGCTGCTCTCAGGAGCAGTTTGTTCTTTTTTTGGGAATTTCTTGACAAAAGCTTGCTACACAGGGTATATAAAAGGTGTGTGTGTGCAGGCTTCTGGAAAAGCTTGCTACACAGGAAATATAAAAGGTGTGTGTGTGCAGGCTTCTGTTGTTGTCTGAGCCTATCCTGTTTAGATTATTTTGGGATGAATTCATTAGTCCATTGATACCACTTTGGTCCCAGTTCTCCTTGTACAAATGTGAGAATAGGCTCCCTGGGCATTCTGTGTGGCCTCTTGGTGATACTAATGTATATAAAGCAGGGAGTAAACAATAGAAATAATCTCTTGTATTCCTAAAATTCAAGCTTGTATTGTTCCCAGAAAATGAATTGGACTTTGAAGCTAGTGCAGACAAGTTCAAGGAAACAAACAAAGCTCAAATTGGGTGCTGGAAGACAAGCAGGCAGATCATTCCTAGCAAGCTGATAGGTGCTGGTGAGGGAGACAGACAGAGTTCTCATTAGGCAGACACTTAATTCTGAATGTGTTTATAGCCACTCCAAACTGTAGCTCCGCAGAAGGTGCATCATGGCAATTCACTCTGCAGATGACAGACACAGATAACTGTGCTGAAGCCTTTGAGAAAACTGCTTAGGATTTTATAGCCTGTGGCATTTGGGGGAGAGAAGTGATAGCTGCTCTGTGACTCAATAGAATGCTTAACAATTGGTGGCAGATTTTAGCTTTCTGCTTGGGCTGTTGATAATTGCTACCTTAATTTGATCTAGGTGACCTGGGGAGATCATAATTTCCAAAACAGGCTTTGCTTTCATTGATGAAAAATGTGACCTTGGACTGCAGCTTTCAGAGTGCCAGACAGCTTCAGATGAGATATGGATAATAGGAGAAATCTCTGCTCTTCTGCAATGAAAAAAAACCCCACAACAACAAAAAGACAAACACAGAAATCTATCCTGAACCAAAATTAGCAGCTGTTTCTTAATGGTGTGTGGGTTTCTGACAGGAAAGTAAACATTAATGGATTTCCACCAACAGCCTTAGAAACTAGCACATCAATTTAGCAACAACATAAATGTGCACACTCCACTGCATGTATTTATTTTTCCATGAGTAATGGCCTCCTCAGATAAGCTCCTAAATTCAAGCATTTATCAGATATGTAATAGTCTCTACTGTAGCTTCAAAATGGGGTCACTTTCCCATATATTCTCTGTCCTAAGAAGTAAAAAATACACACAATTTCCCATTTTATGGTTTATGTAGTAGGAGTTACTAACCTCGTGTTGAATATTTGGCTTGTCTTGGTGAGCAGGTCACTCTTGAGAGTGGTGAAAAACAAAGAACAGTCAATGTCACCAGAAATCAGTGTCAGCTACTTAATTATGAGCTTTACAGTGGTTATTGTTAACACACAGATATGGGAAGAAATAATTCATTCTCACTTTTAACATTGTGGGTGGTGCACAGGTTCCCTCTGGGTTTTGCAAGCTGGGAGATGAGATTGAAATTGTTACCCTGTGGAAGCAATGGACACGTAAAATCATAGAATTTTAGGGGTTGTAATGGACCTTAGAGATCATCTAGTCACAGCCCCCTGCCCTGGTCAGGGACAGGGAGAGTCCCACCACACCGGGTTGTTCAAGGATTCATCCAGCCTGGCTTTGAACCATGCCAGGG